ATAAAAAAAATAGATTATAATGGAAACTTGAATAGTGATTTTTTATCAAATATTCAAATTTGTATGTATTATTTGAGTTGTGTCTGATTATAGAAAGAAATAGAATAATTTAGACATTGTCCAATAGTGAATGATTTAATTCTATAGATAAACATGCTCTGATTAACATTTGTCCTTTCATTTTTATAGCTTAATAATATTGTAAAGTATTTCCATTTACTATTTTGTCTTTACAATAAAATTTATGTTGTAAATAATTTAAATTTAAGTTTCAATTAAATAATGATGTTAAGTTTGGGATTGATGTGAGTGAATGAGTGAAAGACGATACAATTTACAATTACAAATATTCCAGTTAACGAAATCTATTGAATGCAATTGCAATTCAATGTAGGCATATGTGATAACTAGGTTAATATAAACTAAAGTTATGTAATTTTAAAAGAATCGATGAATTTCGAAAAGAAACTTTTACTTTCAACTCTCCGTTTTAGAAAATTTACAACGCAAAATGCAAGTGTGATAAAATCTTACAGATTTCATTTATAATATGTATAATTATAAAATTCTTTCAACTAAACTATTCAATCCATATATTTCAAACCTACTGAGAAATGAAATTTTAAAATTAACAATTTTACGCTACTTGTTAATTTATGAAAGTTAAGCAAACTCTTTTATAGTTATTATATGACTAGTATCTTTTATCAATTTTACTGGGACCCTATTGCTAAGAGTATTATACCAGTTGCTCGTTTAGACACAAAGTGACAGCTGTCGTTATGAAGGATCGCAAATTGACAGCTGTCACAAATAAATTACTCATATGTTGAGAAATACTGTTACAGATTATCAAAGTATTCAAACTGAAATTTTTAGATAAATATTTTTTTTCATATAATAATTGAGAAAAATAACAAAAAAACAAATTTAATAATAATGTAAATATAAATGAACAATTGCAATTTTCAATATATTTTTTTAATATTTCAATACGTAATTTTTGCTAGTATAGAAAATATATTTCACACCAAAAAAAAAACAAATAATTTGAAGTGAAATCTATAACAAAATTTCGTTAAAATTTACTATTGGTAATGAAGTTCTCATCATTATATTTAGATCATTAATATTTATATACAAAATATTATGAGACAGTTTGTATTTGATGTTTATGTTTAATTTATAAAATGTCACTAATTTGTGCATTTGTTGATTTTGATTATTTTTATATTATTGAATACAGTCTTATTAGTATTGGAATTCCTCATAGGCACTTAATTACAATATATTTTTTTATTTGGAAGTAAGTAAAGCATGGATAAAGTTGCGGAAATAATACACGATCTTGTATAAATCAACATGATTACTACGTGCATTTAATTAAGGCCGATTAATGCATTTAAACGAACTCGTTCATTAACGTTAATTAATCTTTTAAATTAAATTATTATGACCGGTTTTCTCTGACTCGAAATAAAAAAAAAATATGTTCGCACTTTCCAGCCTAGATTTTTGTTTATCCTTGTTGTTTCCTATTGCCTATTGCATAGGGCGTGATACTGTTTCTATAATTTACCATTTACATAATCACATTTATCTAGTTGCACGATGCATTCATTTCGAAGGAAAAAGCAAGGCGCAACAAACTTTTATTCCGAAAAAAAACAAACGATCGAGCGCACATGCAGTTCGCGCTCTAAATCATAGCTTAAGTTTAGATGGTTAAATAAGAGGAAACCGCACGTTGCGTGTTTTCCAATTTCTTTCTCTCGTTTTATTTATTTGTGATTTCTTTCGGAAAGGCAACCAACACACGTTTCTTCTGATTTGTGAAAAATGTTAACTGATCTTTTGGTATTTTGCGGTTTTGGAAATATGGAATACTTCATACGTGCTTTCTATTGAATATATTCATTTATTCGTCGAGGTTATAAGAATTTTTTTAAATTATAAATATAGAAAAACTTTTGTATCGTTTTTATTAATGTCTATAAATAAGTATCAGTCTAAATAATTGGGTAATCGATTCCGCAATATCCCGGACTGTTTGAAACCGAACTAATCAGAACTGAATACATACAAAACATAAACTGTACAAAAAGAGGCTTAACTAAATAGAGAAATATGGTATATTTCATAAGTGATTTATATTGACTTGATTCATTTATTCGTCGATGTTATAAGATTTTAAAAATTTTAAATACAGAAAAATATCACTCTAAATATATATATTGATAATTAGATAATACCTCGTATAGTCCGGGTAATCGGTTCCGCAATATCCCGGACTGTTTGAAACCGGACTAATCAGAACTGAATACATACAAAACATAAACTATACGAAAAGAGGCTTAACTAGATAGATAAATATGATATATTTTATACGTGTTTTATATTGACTTGTTTCATTTATTCGTCGATTTTATAAGATTTTTTAAATTTTAAATACAGAAAAATATCACTCTAAATATATATTGATAATTAAATAATACCTCGTATAGTCCGGGTAATCGGTTCCGCAATATCCCGGACTGTTTGAAACCGGACTAATCAGAACTGAATACATACAAAATATAAACTGTACGGAAAGAGTCTTAACGAGATAGACAAATATGGTAAATTTCATACGTGTTTTATATTGACTTGATTCATTCATTCGTCGATGTTATAAGATTTTTTAAATTTTAAATACAGAAATATCACTCTAAATATATATTGATAATTAAATAATACCTCGTATAGTCCGGGTAATAGGTTCCGCAATAACCCGGTTTGTTTGAAACCGGACTAATCAGAACTGAATACATACCATTTATATTTTGCTTAATTGAAATTTAGTTTTGTTTTAAAATTTTCAAATATTCTGATCTGATTTTTCGGTATTTCATACTTGCTTTCTATTGAGTTGATTCATTTATTTGTCACGCGATTTTTTAAAATTTTAATTAATGTAAATATATAATCCAATTAGATAATACTGATCTTAAGTCTTTCGGTATTTTGCGGTTTTGGAAATTCGTATTTTATATGTGCTTTCTATTTGAAATTATTCAATTATTCGTCGAGGTTACAGGAAACGAAAAAATATTTGTTGCAACTTTTTTATTTTATATATAGACACACTTTTGTAACGTTTCAATTAATATCTATAAATCATAAATATATAATGTAATTAGAATCACACGGATCATCCAATACTCCGCACTGTTTAAAACCGGACTAATCGAGAACTTTAAAGGCGACTGTTAAAATATTTTTGTGTACTAATTTTTCAGAATTTAGTTTTAGTGTACTCAATTAAATTTTAGTGTGTTTTACAATTTACAAACTGTGAATCCGCACTGATCGAAGCCGTATTTTATGAGAGGTATTGCTTAAGTAATAAAGGAATAAATTTCACAATTTTACACTTAATTTTTATAAAGAACAAATGTTTGAGTACAACAGTGGTTGTGAATGGTGGCAAACAGTGGCGCCCTGAAGTTGTCGTGGAAGTTTAGCTCGGTGAAGTTAAGCAGGGAGAAGCGTATTAGTAGAACAGTTTAAGAAGTAACAGTATTAAGTATATGTATGTAAGATGTAGTCAATAAACGCCTTCTTTGAATCCCCAACGACTTTCTCCATTCACCCGCGCAACTTG